TAGGCTGAGAGAGGCTGGACTGAGGGCTTGTAGGTCTGTTGTAAGGCCGGTCCTCAACGGCAACAACGTCGCCTAGGGGCACAAACCCACCATCACTGGACCAGACAGGACTGGCAAAAAGTGCTCTTCACTGACGAGTCACGGTCTTGTCTCACCAGGGGTGATTGTCGGATTTGCGTTTATCGTCCAAGGAATGAGTGTTACACCGAGGCCTGTACACTGGAGCGGGATCAAGGTGGAGGGTCCTTCATGGTCTGGGGCGGTGTGTTACAGCATCATCGGACTGAGCTGATTGTCATTGCAGGCAATCTCAACGCTGTGAGTTACAGGGAAGACATCCTCCTCCCTCATGTGGTACCCTTCCTGCAGGCTCATCCTGACATAACCCTCCAGCATGACAATGCCATCAGCCATACTGCTCGTTCTGTGCGTGATTTCCTGCAAGACAGGAACGTCCGTGTTCTGCCATGGCCAGCGAAGAGCCCGGATCTCAATCCCATTGAGCACGTCTGGGACCTGTTGGATTGGAGGGTGAGGGCTAGGGCCTTTCCCCCTAGAAATGTCTGGGAACTTGCAGGTGCCTTCGTGGAAGAGTGGGGTAACATCTCACAGCAAGAACTGGCAAATCTGGTGCAGTCCATGAGGAGGAGATGCACTGCAGTACTTAATGCAGCTAGTGGCCACACCAGATACTGACTGACTTTTGATTTTGACCCCCCCTTTGTTCAGGGACACATTATTCCATTTCTGTTTGTCACATGTCTGTGGAACTTGTTCAGTTTGTCTAATTTGTTGAATCTTTTTATGTTCATACAAATATTTACACATGTTATGTTTGCTGAAAATAAACGCAGTTGACAGTGAGAGGACGTTTTCTTTTTTTGCTGAGTTTATATACGTGTGTGTGTATATAAATATATGTGTATACACGTGTGTGTGTGTGTGTGTGTGTGTGTGTGTGTATATATATATATATATATATATATATATATATATTTGTGTGTGTCAAGGGGTCTGAATACTTTCCGAATGTGATATATAAATATAATAATCCATTTTAAAATAAGGCTGTAAAATAACAAAATGTGGAAAAAGTCAAGGGGTCTGAATACATTCCCCCCACCCCGTGTTTTGTTATATAACAGCCATATTCTAAAATTGATTAAATAAATAAAAATCCTCAATCTACACACAATGGCAAAGTGAAAACAGGTTTTTAGAAATGTTAGCTTATGTATTAAAAATAGAAAACAGAAATGTCTTATTTAAACAAGTATTCAGACCCTTTGCTATGAGACTCGAAATTTAAATTTTAGTCATTTAGCAGACGCTCTTATCCAGAGCGACTTACAGTTAGTGAGTGCATACATTTTCAAATTGAGCTCAGGTGCATCCTGTTTCCATTGATCATCCTTGAGATGTTTCTACAACTTGATTGGAGTCAAGCTGTGGTAAATTCAATTGATTGGACATGATTTGGATAGGCACACGCCTGTCTATATATGTCAGAGCAAAAACCAAGCCATTTGGTCGAAGGAATTGTCCGTAGAGCTCTGAGACAGGATTGTGTCAACACGTATACGCTGAACAAAAATCTAAACAGAACATGTAAAGTGTTGGTCCCATGCTTCATGAGCTGAAGTAAAAGATCCCAGAAATGTTCCATACGCACAAAAATATTATTTCTCAAATGTTGTGCACATTTGTTTGCATCCCTGTTACTGAGCATTTCTCCTTTACCAAGATAATCCATCCACCTGCATATCAAGAAGCTGATTAAACAGCATGATCATTACACAGTTGCACTTTGTGCTGGGGACAATAAAAGGCCACTCGAAAATGTGCAGTTTTGTCACACAACACAATGCCACAGATGTTTTGAGGGAGCGTGCAATTGGCATGCTGACTGCAGGAATGTCCACCAGAGCTGTTGCCAGAGAATTTAATGTTAATTTCTTTAACATAAACCGCCTGCAACGTAGTTTGAGAAAATGTGGCAGTATGTCCAACCCGCCTCACAACCGCAGACCACGTGTATGGCGTCGTGTGGGCGAGCGGTTTGCTAATGTCAATGCTGTGAACAGAGTGCTCCATGGTGGAGGTGGGGTTATGGTATGGGCAGGCATAACCTACGGACAATGAACAGAATTGCATTTTATCGGGAGCAATTTGAATGCACAGAAATACTGTGATGAGATCCTGAGGCCCATTGTGAGGCCCATTTCTTTTAAGGTATCTGTGACCAACAGATGCATATCTGTATTCCCAGTCATGTGAAATCCATAGATTAGAGCCTAGTGATTTAATTTCAATGGACTGATTTTCCTCATATGAACTGTAACTCAGTAAAATCTTTGAAATTGTTGCATGTTGCGTTTTTATATTTTAAGTATATTTATCACCTCTGTTTTCCCAGACAAGTCCTTCCCCCTCCTGAGTCTAGGATGTACAATTCATCTCTGTGGCTATGCAGGTGGTGTTATCGTGCCAGCCTGAATCCAGAACCGTTAGTACTCCTCCATGCATCTCCCGGTCTTCTTATCAGTGGGGAGTATACATTCTTGCACCTTGCTGCAGTCCATCGTTAATGATCCTCTCATACTGTGAGAGAGAAATTATGTATGTACCTGATTTGTTTGATATTAATAGTTACTCTTTGTTAAGTATATAATGGTTAAGACATTTCTGTTCTACTAATGCTGTGTTTTGGTAAAGGGATGGTTTCCACTTTAGCTCCCTGCAGCTAATCTGGGCATATGGTCACTAAAGATAGCTTGAGCTAAACCCCTCATTGTTTCTAATCATTCTTGCATCTGGGAAACTAAGCCGGGCTGGGGGTTAAAACAACACCAGGTGCAGATAACCCACCCGATCTGAGTGGGAGGGATGGAACCAGCCATGACTAAACATTTTAGTGTCAGCTATATAAGAACCAGGATTCCTCTAAGGTCAAGGTCTCGGCACGCACACACACTTAAGTGTGCGGTCGACCAGCTCATTATTGCAATAATTAATCGATGTTAAATAAAGATTCATTGTTTGAATAATTGTCCAAGTCTCTCTCAGTATACATGAATTTCCACGACAATTTACAGAGCTATTTTAGAATAAACAATATATCCATACTGAGGTGAATATGATGCAAAACATATTGAGAGACTATAATGATATATAACAGTGAAGCTATAACATATTGAGAGAATATAATGATATATAACAGTGAAGCTATAACATATTGAGAGAATATAATGATATATAACAGTGAAGCTATAACATATTGAGAGAATATAATGATATATAACAGCGAAGCTATAAGACAGTTACAGGGCAGTAGTTCACAATCTATTAGCTCTATCATATGACTCCTATCTCACCCTTAAGAAAACATTCTGTCTCAGGGGACATCCATTTAACCCATAACACATGAATCACGTTTGCCAGGCTACTTATATGAATATAAACATACTATGAAATTGTATATGCAGGGCTCCCTTGGAAAAGAGACACTGGTCTCAATGGTGACTCCCTGCTAAAAATAAGCATTGCTTGGATATAAGAGAGTGCTGCACCACTCGATAGGCAGGTATTCAGCTGTTGCCTCTTTTAGTATTAAACTATTGAACTTCACGCTCACTCTTTTCTGGTAAGTACAGTGCATTCGGAAAGTATTCAGACCCCTTGACTTTCCACATTTTGTTACGTTACAGCCTTATTCTAAAATTGTTTTTTTTTACAAAATCCTCAACGATTTACACACAATACCCCATAATGAGAGCAAATTTTTTTTTGCAAATTTATGAAAACGGAAGTAAATCTTGGTTTCATCAGACCAGAGAATCTTGTTTCTCATGGTCAGAGTCCTTTAGGTGCCTTTTGGCAAACTCCAAGCTGGCTGTCATGTGCCTTTTACTGAGGAGTGGCTTCCGTCTGGCCATTCTACCATACATGCCTGATTGGTGGAGTGCTGCAAAGATGGTTGTCCTTCTGGAAGGTTCTCCCATCTCCACAGAGGAACTCTGGAGCTCTGTCAGTGTGACCATCGGGTTCTTGGTTACCTCCCTGACCAAGTCCCTTCTCCCCCGATTGCTCAGTTTGGCCGGGCGGCCAGCTCTAGGAAGAGTCTTGGTGGTTCCAAACGTCTTCCATTTTAGAATGATGGAGGCCACTGTGTTCTTGGGGACCTTCAATGCTGCAGAAATGTTTGGGTACCCTTCCCCAGATCTGTGCCTCGACACAATCCTGTCTCGGCGCTCTACGGACAATTCCTTCGACCCTCATGGCTTGGTTTTTGCTCTGACATTCACTGTCAACTGTGGGACCTTATATAGACAGGTGTGTGCCTTTCCAAATCATGTCCAATCAATTGAATGTACCACAGGTGGACTCCAATCAAGTTGTAGAAACATCTCAAGGATGATCAATGGAAACAGGATGCACCTGAGCTCAATTTCGAGTCTCATAGCAAAGGGTCTGAATACTTATGTAAATAAGGTATTTATGTTTTTATTTTTAATACATTTGCAAATATTTCTAAAAAACTTTTTTCGCTTTGTCATTATGGGATATTGTGTGTAGATTGATGGGGGAAAATTGTTTTAATCAATTTTATAATAAGTCTGTAATGTAACAAAATGTGGAGTGTCAAGGGGTCTGAATACTTTCCGAATGCATATTGAATCAGACCGGTTATCCCGAGTTGAAGTCAGAGTTGACCAAAGTTACCTCGCTAACTCCTCAAACCTGATTCATAGTATACCCCACTGGTAAAACATATTAGCTAGCCTACCTGTCACAAGACTATGCTGCCAGAGAATTTGATGAGGACTTTGTAGCACCAGATTGCCATACCCTAAACCTAAGATTTTTACAGAAATGACACCACTGGATACAGTCTACATTGGTTACTGTGGGTTTGTTGCGCTAATCCCGGTTCATAATATGTTTTTAATTTCAGAAATGGTTACATTCTGCCATACCACGAGACTGAGGAGACAAGGAGAATGCAGACCTCTACCTGGACCCAAAGTGGACCGGATCGATCCGTCGCTGGACAATCCTCAAGTCCCCAAGTTACCAGTGGTCAGATGAGTGGGAATCCGAGCACCTATTCTCATCAATATGGGCCAGTCAGACCAGTTGTCCTGTATACACAAGGTGGTCAATGCCTACCACACAGTGGACAAGTAACCGGTGGAGGTTACTGGAGTGGACAGACCCTGGATCAACAGGCATCAATGGTTTACATAAACTCATCTCAGCATTCACCCACAAAAGAGCAGGTTCTAATGGGTACCAGTCCCCTTTTGACATCACTCTTGATTAACAATGCGGCTGCACAATCAACTGGTGTTACATCACAAAGTGGAAACCATCACACCTTGCCCGGAAGGTTTAACAGTGCAGCTCAACCCACTTTCCAACAGGGACAGGGGTATTTGGGTGTTAATAATAACAATCCACAGAGGCTTGTAACTGATGGTCAGGGTGCAACCATTCACTGCCCCTCTGATATTAATGCACCACTGAATACAAATGTTATGTCTCATCAAAGCCCAGCAAGTGGCAGTCAGCAGCTGGTACTTGGCAGACAAGAGGGGGCCTCCAGTGGTACCTCTGCTGCTCTTGCAATGGGTAGGAGCCCCAACCATTTAAATCATCAATGGACTATAGTGAGTGGGCAGGATTCAAGAAGGATAGCAGTTAAAGCTCCTCAACAGGGGTACCCACAAACACCAAACTCTTTGCAAAGTGCACAGGAGACAACATATAACCAACTGTTGTATGTACTTCAAAATCAGAAAAATTACAGCAGGACTAAGATGAACAGGGTTCAACATGGAGCACCTGTCCACACTGGCTCATCAAACCACAGTCAAATGTATCCCTCTCAACCTCTCACGGGCCGCAACAACCAGGTCAATGTACCAAATGCTGCAGTGGGGCAGTCAATGCCAATGCATAACATTAGCCAGAATCCTCAGTACAATGTTATGCATAACCCTCCTTTTAATAATTCTCCAAGACATGTCTCCATCTGCCCTGAAAGCATTCCCATCACACCACAACAGAACAGACTCCCATCTTATTGTGCAAATATTAACAGTCATTCGGGGGCCATTGGAAATAATGCACACCATGCCACATATCCTAGGCCCCATATCCAAGGCACAGGCCCTACCCTATATTACAAGCCAGACTGCACCAATGTTCTGGTATCCAACACTGGACCATCTTCATCTGTGCCAAATGATAGTATACAGTCCTCAGTCCAGCACAACCGTGAGTCCGCGCCTCCACCATACCCAGGCCAGCACTCCCATGGACCCGTACTGAACAAGCCAGAACATGTGGTTGGGGCAGGAGCGCATTTCCTGCAACACGTGCCAAACCAAGGCTCAGCCCCTACCCTACATTACAAGCCAAAAAACACCTGTGTTCTGATATCCAACACTGGACCATCTTCATCTGTGCCAAATCATGGTATGCAGTTTTCAGGCCAGCAAAACTGTGAGTGTGTGCCTCCGTCATACCCCATAAGACAGGGCTATTACGTAACAGTAACAGAGGACAAAAGTGGAAATGGATTTAGAGCAGAAAATTGTATTTTGATTGGAGATAAACCTAATGAAAGTGCTCTGGTCCTGCAAGGATCATCTGCAAGTAATGCCCCCTCTGTTCTTACGGTGCAGAAGGCCATCGCAGTTGTACAACCACTATCGCAGTGTATGCAGACAAACACACCTCTAAACGTGGCTGGCTTGACCACCCAATGTATGTCTTTCTCAACAGGTGTCGAAAATGTGAGCAACCCTGTGGAAGAATCTTGTGACCAAAGTCCATTACAAGCCCAAACAACCCTTACTTTATCTGCTTCTTTGACAAATGAATCTGGACAAGAGGTCCCCAAGATCAGACCAGAATCAGGGGCTGAAAAAACACTGACTCAGGGTTCAGAAACATCTGATGTTGAAATGGCCAAGACATATTCATGTTTCAAGTCTGAACGGTCACTATCAAACTGGTTACGTGCAGAGAAAGTGGATTCTCAACCATTATCTAATTTGGAATGTCAAGCCACTCAGAGAAAAGAGTTAGCTGACACAGAAATTACCACTCATGTGCATGTTAACCAATTGAGTGAGGAAACAAATGAAAAAGTAGTTTCAGATGAGGACATTTTTGAATTGTCCTCAGTTCCTGTAATCAAATGGACACTTGGTAAATTGAAGGAGTTGGTAGACACTGTGCAACATCCAAAATGCTCTGAGACACCGGTTGAAAGCAAACTACTAAACCTCTATTGGGATGGAGATGGGCAGAAGCTTATGTATGCTGCAAGATCTGATATTTTACAGAATATAATGCGAGAGGTTCGATCTGTGTGTGGCAAAGATATGGCATCACAGTCTGTCATATTTTCACAAGTCAGGCGCAAAAACTGGGGTCAAGTTGAAGAGAAATGTGCCATTCTTAAACATGATTCTGTTCACCCCGAATTCCCGGCGCAAGAGTCATCATGGTTGAACACCAATAAGCAGCTTGATGACATAGACAAGGAGTTTGGATTCCCATGGTCACTAAGATATTACCAAAAGACTCTTCAAAGAGGTGATGAACAACCAAAACTGATTTGTACCGAAAATGAGAAATATGCAGACTCTGCAAGTGACATGCAGACTGAGGTGACTCAGACGAAGAGGTCAACACCCTCTGAATCTGAAGTAATTCAAGGCTCAGGTTTGGCACATAGCTCCACCCAGACTCTCTCAGTGGTTAAGAGGGAAAGTGCAGATATCATTTTTAGTGACCCATTTTCCTCCCTAGAGATCAACGTGCTGCCACCAGAAGAGGCTTTGCAGTTTTTCAGTGGCCAGCTACTACAAGACGAAGTGAAAGACCTGTTGGAATTGACAATAGAAATGGACGCGGAGCTGATTGAGTTGAAAGATCACTCAGTGGAGGATAAATCATCTGAGAGAGTAGATGTGAATTTGAATGTAAAACTCGAAAACAAAGGCAATGTCCAATCAGATGATTACTGTTGCCTCTCACGTTGGAAGGCAGTGTTCAGTGGGTCCACCAATTCTTCATCCTGCAAATGCCAGTACAAGACTGAATTGGGTTCGGCAAAGGCCACTGTGAAAGCGAAGGCGTTGGTTGAGGAAACATTGTCTGTTGAACCGAGCACAACAAATGCAGGACAAAGGGAAAGCCTGCATTTGTGTAAATCAAATGGCACAGCAGAAGGAAAGAGGGAAGGGAATCCTGGTAAAAATGGGAATCCCCAATCATGGAAATCTACAGGCATTGAATGCCAAACTATTGTCTTGTGTGATAGCGAATCTGAGACTGCTCGCCCATACAGAAATGGGGTGAAGAGCTTGCCTTTGTCAAAAGCCCCAGCACTGCAGCTCCCCATCAACCACACAAACATTCTTGAAGTTAAAATTGAAGATGTCTTCTCGAGCTATGAAGACTTTCTTAAAGTGTCCACCCCAATGTCCGAGCTAGTGTTGGACAATGTACAGCCAAAGCAGAAACATTTGGAATGTGTACAAGAACTTGGTGTCATTTTGGAAGAAGGAAACCCTAGATCTAGTGAAGTTGTTCCTATAGTTTCCATTCCTACTTCTAATCTGCAACCCCAACCAACAGACAAAATCTGTTTCCTTACATCACTCTCCTTGGCACAAAGATGTCACAAGCATCTATCTTCTAAAAGAAATCATAGCTGCAAGGTTAAACAAAAAGGGGTTGGACACAAGAGATGTGTTGAAGGTCCTCATTCAAAATTATCTGTCCCAAGAAAGCGAAGGAAAATGAGAGATGGATTGGGTCCCTTCTTTCAACTCGTTCCTGAGGTCAACTTGACTAACAGCGATGACTATTTAGAGCCCCCCAATACAAGTACTTCTAAATCTTTGGAAGAAGAGAAACCTTTAAAAGGTAGCAATCTCCTGAAGCCAACAGAACCTGGAATTGGGACTAAGATGTCGAGGGTCAGCATAGTAACTCTGGCCTTGTTTGGTTCCTCGCACCAGAGGACAAATGGGACTGTAGCAACTGGCCAACGCAAGGACCATAATTCTTCTCGACCCAGACCTTTTGCAGACAAAGCTCCAGCACCTCCTATAACCCTCAGTGTGAATGTAAACTCCGAGACCAGCCCTCCAGTGGAAAGCCCAGTCAGACAACGGATCTTCAACGAGTGGGAGAACAGTTTTGTGCCGACAAAGAAGACAAAGTCCAGAGGCAGAGCATCAAGACTACGAAACCGAAGAGGCTTTGCTCCAAAGATTGTTTGTGCTGAAGTTGTCAAAAATACTGTTGCCTCCACCAACACAGATGGTAGTGCATTATCCTCTGAAAGACGAGCCACACCAGAAAGATCTATAAAGGCCAAGCAGACTTTGCGGCACATTGAAAGAGAGAGAATCTTAAACAGCCTGAAACTCAGACTGAAGAAATCAAGGATTGAGGCAGTGCCATCCAGTATCCCTGATATAGTGGGAAAAAGTAAATATGAGATCGGGAACCCTGCTCCTTTGCATCATGAGGAGAACAGTCTTCTTATGTTTAGTGTGCTGCCTGAGTCGTTCAAGTTCAAAGAACCCATGGACCCTCCGACACAGACAGGTTCAATGAAGGGTAAGTAATACCAACACAGATATGCTTGGTCTTACTCCTGTAGCTCAGTTTGTAGTGCATGACGCTTGCAACGCTAGGGTTGTGGGTTCGATTCCCATGGGGAGGCCAGTATGAAAAATGTATGCACTCACTAACTGTAAGTCGCTCTGGATAAGAGCGTCTGCTAAATGACTAAAATGTTAAGGTTACCTGTAATTAGACATTTATTCCTGCTCTTTTCACATTGAAACACTTCCATCAGAAATGGCTGGTCTGGTTGCTGCGACGGCTGAGAGTCCTAAGACAATAGTCCAAAAATACCAAGGTAATAAAGCATGCTATCTATTCAACCATGTGTTGAAAATGTATGTATTGTGGCCACTTCCTACATTGCGTTTTCCATATCTTTGTAAGGAAAGTGTTTCTTGTATCTATGCAGTTTGTTCCCTTTCTCCATTTATTCCTTTGTGTTAATAAGGAGGACGTAGGTTTTTGTTTTATTTGTTGTAACAAATGAACTATTACACTCTCTGTAGGTGTATGGTCTGTTGGCCTTCAGAAGAGAGATTGTCCTCTTACGTCTTCGACCACTAAAGTCCCCAGGTCTTCCTCCACCGCCTTCCAGGAGTTTCAGAAGAAATTCAATCAGAAGAAGTAGGCCCGGCAGCTATCCCAATACAAATTGTATTGCCTCCAGTTATGGACTGGAGGAGTGGAGTGAGGACTGTTGACAATCTGATTCTTGTAACTTGTTTCCCATGGAAATATAGGCTATTGGTACAATTTGTTTTTTTGTTTGGTTATGAACATTTGTCATAAACAATGTATGTTCTTTTGGAATGCAGAAATTGACCTTATTGTGGTAAGGTTGGGCAGCTCATAATACGGTTATTATTTACCGTAGATATCGTGAGCCAATATATCTGACAGTATCCTCCTTGTCACACCCTGGCTCTGGGACTCTATATGTTGAGCCAGGGTGTGTTCATTCTATGTGTTCATTTTCTATGTTGGGTGTTCTAGGTTGTGTATTCTATGTTGGCCAGAGTGGCTCCCAATCAGAGGCAACAAGTGTCAGCTGTTGTGGGTTGTCTCTGATTGGGAGCCATATTTAAACTGTATGTTTTCCCTTGGGTGTTGTGGGTTTTTGTTCCGTGTCAGTATGTTTAACCGTGGACTTCACGAGTCGTGTTTTGTTAGTACTTTATTTAATTAAAGTCATGTTTGTTTCACACGCTGCGCCTTGGTCTACTCACTCCTACAACGATCGTGATACTCCTCTCTACCTCAGGCCTGACAGGCAACATTGCGAAACTTCATCTAATTTAAAAACCCTAAACTAAAGTTTTGTGGGTCATTGGATGGCTGTATTTTAATGTTTATTTCATTTTTTTTTGTCATTTAGCAGACACTCTTATCCAGAGCGATTAGGGTTAAGTGCCTTGCTTAAGGGCACATCGACAGATTTTTCACCTAGTCAGCTCGGGGATTAGAACCAGCGACCTTTCGGTTACTGGCACACCACTCTTACCCACTAAGCTACCTGCCGCCACGATATTTCAGTGTCGTATCTGACATTTTTTGGGGTAAACAGTATTTTATGCAAAACTCATGTTTACTGTTTGAATGTATCACAGAATGTGAACAATGCAAAATTGACTGGTTTGTTTGAATTTGTAAGCTAAATCATCCCGCCCACCTCTCGACTGTTCCCTTTTACAATCTTTTATAACAAGTGGGTAACTTTATCAGTAGTTATTTTTCTGGAGTTTAAACAGAATCCTTTTGTTGCCACGGGATGAACAGTGTTGTATGGTTAGAGATACAGTGAGGGAAAAAAGTATTTGATCCCCTGCTGATTTTGTACGTTTGCCCACTGACAAATAAATTATCGGTCTATAATTTTAATGGTAGGTTTATTTGAACCGTGAGAGACAGAATAACAACAAAAAAATCCAGAAAAACGCATGTCGAAAATGTTATAAATTGATTTGCATTTTAATGAGGGAAATAAGTATTTGACCCCCTCTCAATCAGAAAGATTTCTGGCTCCCAGGTGTCTTTTATACGGGTAACGAGCTGAGATTAGGAGCACACTCTTAAAGGGAGTGCTCCTAATCTCAGTTTGTTACCTGTATAAAAGACACCTGTCCACAGAAGCAATCAATCAATCAGATTCCAAACTCTCCACCATGGCCAAGACCAAAGAGCTCTCCAAGGATGTCAGGGACAAGATTGTAAACCTACACAAGGCTGGAATGGGCTACAAGACCATCACCAAGCAGCTTGGTGAGAAGGTGACAACAGTTGGTGCGATTATTTTCGCAAATGGAAGAAACGCAAAAGACTGTCAATCTCCCTCTGCCTGGGGCTCCATGCAAGATCTCACCTCGTGAAGTTGCAATGATCATGAGAACGGTGAGGAATCAGCCCAGAACTACACGGGAGGATCTTGTCAATAATCTCAAGGCAGCTGGGACCATAGTCACCAAGAAAACAATTGGTAACACACTACGCCGTGAAGGACTGAAATCCTGCAGCGCCCGCAAGGTCCCCCTGCTCAAGAAAGCACATATACAGGCCCGTCTGAAGTTTGCCAATGAACATCTGAATGATTCAGAGGAGAACTGGGTGAAAGTGTTGTGGTCAGATGAGACCAAAATCGAGCTCTTTGGCATCAACTCAACTCGCCGTGTCAAAGGGACGATGGACGGGGCCATGTACCGTCAAATCTTGGGTGAGAACCTCCTTCCCTCAGCCAGGGCATTGAAAATGGGTTGTGGAAGGGTATTCCAGCATGATAATGACCCAAAACACACGGCCAAGGCAACAAAGGAGTGGCTCAAGAAGAAGCACATTAAGGTCCTGGAGTGGCCTAGCCAGTCTCCAGACCTTAATCCCATAGAAAATCTGTGGAGGGAGCTGAAGGTTGGAGTTGCCAAACGTCAGCCTCAAAACCTTAATGACTTGGAGAAGATCTGCAAAGAGGAGTGGGACAAATCCCTCCTGAGATGTGTGCAAACCTGGTGGCCAACTACAAGAAACGTCTGACCTCTGTGATAACTTTATGTTTTTTACCCCATATGTAACTCTGTGTTGTTTTTTATTGCACTACTTTGCTTTATCTTGGCCAGGTCGCAGTTGTAAATGAGAACCTGTTCTCAACTGGCTTACCTGGTTAAATAAAGGTGAAAAAAAAAAAAAAAAAAAAAAAAAATTGCCAACAAGGGTTTTGCCACCAAGTACTAAATCATGTTTTGCAGAGGGGTCAAATGCTTTTTTCCCTCATTTAAAATGCAAATCAATTTATAAAAATGTTGACATGCGTTTTCTGGATTTTGTTGTTGTTATTCTGTCTCTCACTGTTCAAATAAACCTACCATTAAAATTATAGACTGATCATTTGTTTGTCAGTGGGCAAACATACAAAATCAGCAGGGGATCAAATACTTTTTCCCCTCACTGTACTAAGCCAGCTGAAACAAGGTTGCATTGCAGTATTCTGGATGGATACAGCAGGAAACCTGTATGTGTGTAGTAACCACTGACCTGGTGCATTACATTTATATATATATATATATTATTTTTTTGTCTACCTAGTGTTATTTCTTTAATATGTTGGTGTATGTTATGTGTCTAAATAAATATTTTGTATACTAATATTGTTGTCAGCAGCATCATTCACTTGGCTTTTGTTGATTTATAAGTAAGACAGGCAGGGTACATTCTGTTACCAGAGGTGTCTGTTGGTTAGGTGTGAATGCTAATCCAGAGCAATTAGTACTAGTCTGTGAAACTGTTGGGCATCAGTTGGTTAGATTCCTATTGACTTCTGGAATACCATCTAACACTTTGAAGCTTGAATATAATACAAACACCTGCTCTGCAGAGATTGCTAACACGAAATCCAACTGATATGTTGTGCAAGGTGAAAATGCTTGCTTGGCAAATTGAGGAAGAGTAATTCACTATCTATACTACCATTAAAACCCCAGATTGTAGCATAACAATGGATCCTTCTTGATAAAATGAGTTTCTCTGGTATTAAGGAAGTCAGGATGCAAGAATACAAATAAACTCTTAGATGGAGATTTTATACAATGTATTTAATTATACAGAACCAGATTCAACATAACAAGCTGCAAGTTAGTTGCCTCTTGCTATCAGAATGAGAGACAGAGATCTCTCAGTTTATATCCTTCAAGATAAACAAGTTTTTAACCAACATCTGTCAACCATCACTGAAGGACCCTCCCAACCGAGAAGGTACCAGCCGGCACCCCAGACGGGACAGTCCCTCTATAACTTATTCTAAGATAAATAACAGTGGTTCCTTCAGACTTTTTGGCTCCCAGAGTGACATGATAGCTCCTGAGTGGCGCAGTGGTCTAAGGCACTGCATCGCAGTGCTACCTGTGCTACTAGAGATCCTGGTTCGAATCCAGGCTCTGTCGCAGCCGGCCGCGACCGGGAGACTCATGGGCGGCGCACAATTGGCCCAGCGTCGTCCAGGGTAGGGGAGGGAATGGCCGGCAGGGATGTAGCTCAGTTGATAGAGCGTGGCGTTTGCAACGCCAGGGTTGTGGGTTCGTTTCCCATGGGGGGCCAGTATAAAAAAAAAAAATGTATTCACTAACTGTAAGTTGCTCTGGATAAGAGCGTCTGCTAAATGACTAAAATGTAAATGTAAAATGATAAATGGATTGAAGGCATTCCCAAATCCTGTGTAATCACGTAATATCACCTCTGAAATAAACTCAGTTTTCAAAAAATTTAATCACAAACTGTATCAATCCGGGGGTGGCAGTATCATTAGATGCTGAATAACGTTTGATACAGTGGAATGGGCATATTTGGTGGCGGTCTTAAAAAATGTAGCTATTGTATAAATCTGTTGGATTGAGCTATTGTATAAATCTTTAAGAACAAATGGACAAATGATTTACGTTATCAAACGGGACAAGACAAGGATACCCACTGTTGTTATCTATTTGCTTTAGCCACAGAACACATACACAATGCTGCTGCCACCGCTGCAGGAACAATCCATCACAGCTGCTTCCTGCCAGAGACCAACCAACAGGATACATCCAGAGAGTGAGACTGGATACAAGCAAGAAGACATAGAACAATCACTTCAACTCTATCCACATGTACATATTACCTCAACTAGCCGGTGCCCCCACAGATCTGCACCGGTACCCCCCTGTATATAGCATTTTTACATTTACGTCATTTAGCAGACGCTCTTATCCAGAGCGACTTACAGTTAGTGCATACATTATTTATTTTTCATACTGGCCCCCCGTGGAAATCAAACCCACAAACCTGGCGTTGCAAACTCCATGCTCTACCAACTGAGCTACATCCCTGCCGGCCATTTACTCCAATTGTGCGCCGCCCCATGGGTCTCCCGGTCACTGCCAGCTACGACAGAGCCTGGATTCAAACCAGGATCTCTAGTGGCACAGCTAGCACTGCCTTAGACCACTGCGCCACTCGGGAGATACATATATAGCCTCACTACTATTATTTTATTTTACTTCTGCTCTTTTTTTCTCAACACTTTTTTGTTGTTGTTGTTTTATTTTACTTTTTTATTAACAAATAAATGCTTTGTTGGTTAAGGGCTGTAAAGTAATCATTTCACGGTAATGTCTACACCTGTTATATTCGGCGCATGTGGCAAATACAATTTGATTTTATCTATATAGCAAGCTAAACATTTATCACTACATAAAAGCCAATTCTGACTTGCTTTATGAAACTAATAAGAATTGCCTCAGGTCTACATGGAAAATGCTGCCAGGTTATGCGCAGTAAATGCGCATCTCTATTCCCTCAACACGCAACAAAGCAGCACACTCACACTACACCCAAACATTCGTTTGTTTATGTTTATATAACTGTGGGTCTAATCCTGAATGCTGATTGGTTAAAACCGCATTCCAGCCGGTGTCTATTCCACAAGTTACCACCCGCTAAATCTATGACGTTAAAATGCCTATTTACTCTATTCCATTTGACTGCACAATCCACTGTCTCATCAGCCCAGCATGGCTATTTATGAACATGATCTCCAATATAAAAAGCATCTAGACATTATCTCACATGTCTTTTAGACTAACATTTAGTTTTCAACAGATTTGTATAAACCTTGCTGTCTGTCTCTCCGACATTTGCAACATTGTTTCAATATTCAAATTCGATCTCCAGCTGTCCCATTGTAATGAATGTGTCGGGATGAGACAGACAGGCAGTGTTTTTCAGCCAGTCGAAATGATGAATCAGCTGGCATCATTTTTATGGATATATATAAAGACATGTCAATTGAAAAAAATATGAAATGAAACGAATTGCAGTCTTTCTAGCTTCAGTTTGACGTGATTGTGTTAGTTGTGTTGTTGGCTAGCTCCTCTGAACAACAGTGTCCTGAGGAGTGAGTACATTTTCTATTCCAGGCGAAGTCACGTCTCATTAGCTCATTGTTATGGATGTATCCAAATAAATGTCACTAGAAAACAGCTTAAACAAATGCGGCTACTTTGCTGTTATTCTGGCTACACTATTTGACGTGACTGTAAGTTAGCCGTAGTTGGCTAGCTAGCAAGCAATAAGAACGTTGCCAGCAAGTATGGCAATGGAACATTTAGAACGAACGACTGGGTCGCGTCCATAGATACAGAACAAAAAGACCAGCCGGTTTGGGTAGCAACCCTAGATTTATGTTGGGACTATATCAGCGGCTCTCTATATTTATTATTATTATATTATTATATCTCCAGGAAGGAGGAGTAGGGTTGATCCGAGCGTTCTGACCTCACAACGGCACCCAAGCTAACTGGCTAAAGTTAGGTAGCTTGCTAGCTACTTCAAGACAAATGAGAGAACACCTCACTCTGACCATTTTTCTCGCCCTAGCATAGCTGGTTAGGGTGTTTTCATGTTATCCAGAGCGTAGGTGACTGTAACTGCGCTGCTGGCAACAATTTAATTACGCTTTTTTGCCGACGTTTACTGATATTCAACGGGTGTTGATCGTTCGTAAATTCATCAGTTATTCTGCACGCTGAAATCGGAGTAGATATCCAGAGTGAATTTACGAACGCACCCTATATCTCGTGGAAGTGTGTGAAATTATTCTCTTATATTTTAGATGTGCTGTTAGCTTAATAAGAAAGCATTAATTATTAAACATAATAGGTTTGTACTGTACTGATATAAATTGGTCAACATAACAAGCTGTGATTAATGTGAGGAACTGTTAGGGAGTAGGGTGAGATAAGGCTTGTGACTCACTTACACAAACACTGCCTCTTTGTTGAACTGTCCAAGGACATATGTACAAAGAGTACAGTTAGAGTGGGAAAGTACTAAAATCTCAGGAACAGGAAACTGTGTCTATGGGTGCTGACTATTGAGACAAGTTGTGACGATAACAACTTATGCCTGGCAACAGTGAAGCGCCAAGGGGCTGGGACCAGCCTGTGCGCCAACGATAGGCTGAGTAAGTCTAAACCACGCTCAGTCTCTACTCTGATAGGCCAGCAGGGAGCGGGAACTATCTCTGTCAGAGTATTTAAAGAATAACTTATAACAATGGACCAGTTCTCTGACTGCCCTGCGTGGTATTTCAGTGGACCCGTATATACGAACATCATATTTACCATTGAAGTGTTTTGCATTAATTAAAATACTAGTCTATTTTAGAAGACGTGTGTTGACCTCTTTTTGTTCCTATACCAGATTTGAATTGACGCAACTTAACAGATGGATGAAATAGTATGAATAAATTCATGAATATATGTCAATCACTATTTGAATATGTTGGTAACCCGTTGTATAAAAGTGATAATACCCTCGAAGCCGGTGTTTGGAGGATATATTGGCACGGTTTTCCGGGGCTCGACTTCGTCTCTTCCCTAACAACACCAGTGCCAATATATCCTCCAAATACCGGCTTCGAGGGCATTATCACTTAATTGGACCACCTGACAGGGAGCTAGCTTTCGTAGCTTAACTAGCGTCTCCATTCTCACTTTCCCAGCCATATAAGTGGCATTATGGCAGCGGATTCGCTTTTGAATATGTGAGTGAGTATTTCTTGCAGGTTACAGTAATGTTCGTTGAGCGGCTCTGAAAGGTGATTTAGCTAGATGTTCAGTGATGTAGCTATATTTCCATTCTTGCAGAAGCGCCGTATGTGTTGCAATCGATGCGGACAGATACCTCAGTTACTTCATGGCTTTACCTGCGGGCATAAAAGACAAGCTGTTGCGAATCATGTCATCAAGGGGCATGATGACCGACCTAAACATCAGTTAGTTAATGGGGTGACAGGTAGCTTAGTGGTTAAGAGCGTTGTGCCAGTAACCGAAAGGTTGCTGGTTCTAATCCCCGAGCCAACTAGGTGAAAAATCTGTCGATGTGCCCTTGAGCAAGGCACTTAACCCTAATTGCTCATGTAAGTCGCTCTGCTAAAGAGCGTCTGCTAAAAAAAAAAAAAAAAAGAAAAAAAAAAAAAGGTAATAGCTGTGTGCTTTATGAAATAGTGGTGTCCACTGCAGGTTCTGGAGAACTACTATGTGCAGGTTTTCTTCCCAGCCCAGTACTTATCACGTCCACCAGCGGCTCTCTCACAATTGAACCTGGGGATGTGGTTCAGCAATAATCAAAATATTGGTATTCATTCTGTGTTACTACTGGGCTAGAACCAACTCCTGATAGAGGTCTCAAAATCAGAGCGCCCTACATTGATTCTTATAAAGTCTAAATTGATTCCTACTGTGCATGCCCTCAGCTGATGCATCCTGGGACACATGCTGGACTGCGGAGTGTCTGACTCTGCCCTCTGACAAATCTGCTACCCACTGCTCTGGAGGAGCCACCTGCAGTATCACCTCAGAGGGTACTTAACTACCAAAAGTAACCATATCTGTGTTTAAAAATATACTCTGTATATACTGTGTAAAGTGTTTTACACTGTTTACTATTCTGTTTGTCAGCACCTCTACCAACATTATCTAGTGTGCACCAGCTCATGCTTTTTACTGGACCACCTCACTGTGTACAATACAATTACAATAAAGTACTTTACAATACATTACAATATTACATAATATAATGTGATGTAATACAATTACATTGCGCTATACAACTTAAATGTTGATTTGTTGGTTCTCTGTAGGTATGAGGGCCCTGACGGCCTCCTGCCCCGGCCTGCAGGTGGTGGACCTAACTAGGTGTGCTGCAATGACAAATGAGGGGGTCCTGGCTCTGGCCCACGGCTGCAGCTCCCTGGAGGTCCTCTCGCTCTGGGGTTGCTCTTCTGTGGGAGACGCTGCCCTTTTGGCGCTTGCCTCTCGGGAACCCAGGTAATTCAATTGAGTGAGTGAAATGTTTAAGTTTTCACTGTAGGTTCACGAACAGATTGGATGACATATCTTTCTAATAAACTTAACCCAGGGTTTAAGACTGAAGGCTACGTGAAGGCTGCGCTCATCCTATTCCTAATATTTATATTATTTCAGTGTAACAGGAATGCATTATTTATCCCTCTGGACGGTGCATTACCAGGTTAGTACTTTGATGGACATTAGCTTATTGCTTATACATATCTATTTGTTAATCACCCCAGTAAAACAGATGATTTGCTCTTTGTTTCAGGTTACAGATGAGGGTATCATTGGGCTGGCTACTGCACCGTGCTCTAACAGTTGAAAGGTAAGAATAATAATAATAATAATAATAATATTCCATTTAGCAGACGCTTTTATCCAAAGCGACTTACAAGACAAACAAATGTGCATATGAAAATTAATTTCCTCATCAAGGTCAATAAACTGTCCCTTTCTGCTTGTGTTGTGTGGATCATGTTTGTTCACACTTCAAATCTCAAAATATACCATAGTATAAGTGTAGTCTTCGTAAACCCAACTCTAGGCAACGTAGCATTGGATACATTGTGGGAGGCAATCCGTCTGCCAAGGGAGACTAGTATAAGCATGCAAAAAAGTAGAAGGCCTGTGCACATTTCTTCAAGGTGAGGGCTATGGCAGGAGCAACTTAGTATCCAGACACGTGCAAAAACTGCACACTTGGAAAGATAACACACCGACCTTGATTCATGTCTTGTTAGTTTATTTGTTTTTATACAAATACTTGAATCAAGGTTGTCATTGTTTTTCCAAGTGTTTCGTTTTCACATGTTTTTGGAGCCAGAGTATTGTTTCTAAGCAGACAGGGATCTCTAAACTATGTGATTGATTGTGTTGTAGAAACTCCAGTTGACCCAATGTCGTAACCTGACAGACAAGGCGGTGAGGGCTGTCCTTACAAACTGCCTCAATGTCCGGCTCTTCACCTTCGACAGATGTCCTCTCATCACTGGTGAGCTTTTGGCTCATAGTATAAGTTGTCTAGCCCGGTCCAGATCTGTATGTGTGTTTAATACATTGGTATTCAAAAGTGTGGTAAATTCACAACTGTATGTAACCCTAACAACCTTTGTCTTTCAGATCAAGAGTCTCTGCGCAGCCTTTTAGGCCCGGATAAGTTCCAATGGGTATCATGGACAGTGTACTGAGGGAGAAGTTATCCATAAATGCAGACTTATATGCTGACCACACCGCTCGCGTCTCAAAATAAATGTACACATACATGTTATTCAATCATTGCACCCACACTGCTCGCGCTCGTCAACGAGCGCCTGCGTGGCCAGGCGCTAAAATAGAACTTGACGCGCTGCAAGTCCCGCCTCTCCCATCTCCTCATTGATTTTTAGGAGCATATACCCACGTGGGTGATTGAAAGATGAACTGAGGTCCACACTCCAGTCCAGTTGGTGGTGGTAATGTACCTTAAAGTTGGTTGCCAACCGCCATATAAAGTCCAAAGAAGAAGAAGCCATTACAAGAAACAAACTCAGTTTACACTTTTATCTGTGGATTAATTGTCGGAGTAGAGGCCCTTGTGCATTTCAGGTAAAACAACAACCCAATGTTTATATCCCAGGACAAATTAGCTAGCAACAGCATAAATGTTTAATGCTTTTCGACCTGTCCCCAAATTAATATAGTTGGTTAAGAGTTCGTTTTGATATTTCAACCTGCGTGTCCGGATCGCGTCTGGTGTGGGTGGACAAAATCAACATGCAGGCGCGCGCCCGGTCTAGTCAACATATTAGGAACAGATCACCCTACCCCAATCCTAAACCTACCCATTAGATGGATGAAAACATTGTCTAAAATGATCGAAGCTTCTGGGACCAAAGTGTTGCGATTTATACCATATACACAGAAGTATGTGGACACCCCTTCAAATGAGTGGATTCGGCTATTTCAGCCACACCCGTTGCTGACAGGTGTATACAATCGAGCACACAGCCATGCAATCTACATAGATCAAATCGTACTACACCGGCTCCGACGCTTGTCGGATATGGCAGGGCTTGCAGACTATTACAGACTACAAAGGGAAGCACAGCTGCGAGCTGCCCAGTGACACGAGCCTACCAGATGAGCTAAATTACTTCTATGCTCGCTTCGAGGCAAGTAACACTGAAACATGCATGAGAGCATCAGCTCTTCCGGACGACTGTGTGATCACGCTCTCCGTAGCCGACGGGAGTAAGACCTTTAAACAGGTCAACATTCACAAGACCGCAGGGCCAGACGGATTACCAGGATGTGTACTCCGAGCATCCGCTGACCAACTGGCAAGTGTCTTCACTGACATTTTCAACCTCTCCCTGTCTGAGTCTGTAATACCAACATTTTTCAAGCAAACCACCATAGTTCCTGTGCCCAAGAACACTAAGGTAACCTGCCTAAATGACTACCGACCCATAGCACTCACGTCTGTAGCCATGAAGTGCTTTGAAAGGCTGGTCATGGCTCACATCAACACCATTATTCCAGAAACCCTAGATCCACTCCAATTTGCATACCACCCCAACAGATCCACAGATGATGCAATCTCTATTGCGCTCCACACTGCCCTTTCACACCTGGACAAAAGGAACACCTATGTGAGAATGCTATTAATTGACTACAGCTCAGCGTTCAACACCATAGTGCCCTCAAAGCTCATTACTAAGCTAAGGACCCTTGGACTAAACACCTCCCTCTGCAACTGGATCCTGGACTTCCTGATGGGAAGCCCCGAGGTGGTAAGGGTAGGTAACAACACATCCGCCACGCTGATCCTCAACACGGGGGCCCCTCAGGGGTGCATGCTCAGTCCCCTCCTGTACTCCCTGTTCACCCATGACTGCATGGCCAGGCATGACTCCAACACCATCATTAAGTTTGCCGACGACACAACAGTGGTAGGCCTGATCACCGACAACGATGAGACAGCCTATAGGGAGGAGGTCAGAGACCTGGCCGTGTGGTGCCAGGACAACAACCTCTCCCTCAACGTGATCAAGACAAAGGAGATGATTATGGACTACAGGAAAAAGAAGAGGACCGAGCACGCCCCCATTCTCATCGACGGGCTGTAGTGGAGCAGGTTGAGAGCTTCAAGTTTCTTGCTGTCCACATCACCAACAAACTAACATGGTCAAAACACACCAAGACAGTCGTGAGAAAAAAAAAAATAAGAAAAAAAAAAATTTGTAAAGTGGTGATCCCACTGGCTATAAGGTGAATGCACCAATTTGTAAGTCGCTCTGGATAAGAGCGTCTGCTAAATGACGTAAATGTAAAAGAGGGCACGACAAAACCTATTCCACTGAAAAGATTTGGCATGGGTCCTCAGATCCTCAAAAGGTTCTACAGCTGCACCATCGAGAGCATCCTGACTGGTTGCATCACTGCCTGGTATGGCAACTGCTCGGCCTCCGACCGCAAGGCACTTCTGAGGGTAGTGCATACGGCCCAGTACATCACTGGGGCCAAGCTTCCTGCCATCCAGGACCTCTATACCAGGCGGTGTCAGAGGAAGGCCCTAAAAGTTGTCAGACTCCAGCCACCCAAGTCGTAGACTGTTCTCTCTGCCACAGCATGTCAAGCGGTACCGGAGCGCCAAGTCTAGGTCCAAGAGGCTTCTAAACAGCTTCTATCCCCAAAGCCATAAGACTCCTGAACATCTAATAAAATGGCTTTTACAATGCTGCAACTCTCTGTTTATTATCTATGCATAGTCACTTTAATAACTCTACCTACATGTACATATTACCTCAATTACTGCGACTAACCGGTGCCCCCGCACATTGACTCGGTACCGGTACCCCCTGTATACAGCCTCTCTATTGTTATTTTACTGCTGCTCTTTAATTATTAGTAACTTTGATTTATTTTCTTTTTTTTGGTATTCTTTCTTAAAACTGCATTGTTGGTTAAGGGCTTGTAAGTAAGCATTTCACTGTAAGGTCTACACCTGTTGTATTCGGCATGTGACAAATAACATTTGATTTGATTAGACAAACATTGGCAGCAGAATGGCCTTGCTGAAGAGCTCAGTTACTTTCAACGTGGCACCGTCATAGGATGCCACCTTTCTAACAAGTCAGTTCGTCAAATCTCTGCTCTGCTAGAGTTGCCCCGGTCAACTGTAAGTGCTGTTATTGTGAAAGGGAAATATCTAAGCGCAACAACAGTGCTGAAGTGCGTAGAGCGTAAAAATCGTCTGTCCTTGATTGCAACACTCACTACCGAGTTCCAAACTGCATCTGGAAGCAACGTCAGCACAATAACTGTTCGTCGGGAGCTTCATGTAATGGGTTTCCATGGCCGAGCAGCCGCACATGAGCTAAGATCACCATGCGTAATGCCAAGTGTCGGCTGGAGTGGTGTAAAGCTCGCCGACATTGGACTCTGGAGCAGTGGAAATGCGTTCTCTGGAGTGATAAATCACGCTTCATGATCTGGAAGTCTGATGGACGAATCTGGGTTTGGCGGATGCCAGGAGAACTCTACCTGCCTGAATGCATAGTGCCAACTGTAACGTTTGGTGGAGGAGGAATAATGGTCTGGGGCTGTGCATTCCGGCATGTAGCGTTCTCCTGGCATCCACCAAACCCCGATTCGTCCATCGGACTGCCAGAGAACGCATTTCCACTGCTCCAGAGTTCAGCCGACACTTGCCATTGCGCATGGTGATCTTAGGCTTGTGTGTGGCTGCTCGGCCATGGAAACCCATTTCATTAAGCTCCCGACTAACAATTATTGTACTGACGTTGCTAGTGTTGCAACCGAGGACAAACAATTTGTACGCGTTACAAGCTTCAGCACTCGGCGGTCTGGTTCTGTGAGCTTGTGTGGCCGACCACTTTGCGGCTGAGCCGTTGTTGCTCATAGACGTTTCCACTTCACAATTACAGCATTTACAGTTGACTGGGGCAGTTCTAGCAGGGCAGAAATTTGACCAACTGACTTGTTGGAAAGGAGGCATCCTATAACAGTGCCACGTTAAGTCACTGAGCTCTTCAGTTAGGCCATTCTACTGCAAAGGTTTGTCTATGGAGATTGCATGGCTGTGTGCTCGATTTTACACACCTGTCAGCAACGGGTCTGGCTGAAATAGCCAAATGCACTAATTTGAAGGGGTGTCCAAATACTTTTGTATATTTAGTGTATAGCTGGCGAGTGCTTGTCCCCTGGCCAGTATACTGTCCAGAATGTAGAAGAAGGGCCACAGTTCTGGTCTTGAATGCCAAAACCAAAAATGTGGAGTTAAGTCTCAAATGGACTTCTGTAGTGAAGTTATGCTTAATTACTATTGCAGTGATTTCTATAATAAAGTTATTTATATCATTATCCGAGCCAAAGCCTTGACGGTATCTATTTGTACTAGTGCAAAGTGCTTTGACAAGTTTCATATACAGTTGAAGTCGGAAGTTTACATACACTTTAGCCAAATACATTTAAACTCAGTTTTTCACAATTCCTGACATTTAATCCTCGTAAAAATGCCCTGTCTTAGGTCAGTTAGGATCACCCCTTTATTCTAAGAATGTGAAATGTCAGAATAATAGTAGAGAGAATGATTTATTTCAGCTTTTATTTCTTTCATTACATTTTACATTTACATTTTAGTAATTTAGCAGACGCTCTTATCCAGAGCGACTTAGAGTTAGTGAGTGCATACATTTTCATACTGCCCCCCCCGTGGGAATCGAACCCACAACCCTGGCATTGCAAATGCCATGCTCTACCAACTGAGCTACAGAGGGCCCACAAATGTTCAACACATTCACAGTGGGTCAGAAGTTTACTTACACTAAATTAGTATTTTGTAGCATTGCCTTTAAATTGTTTAACTTGGGTCAAACGTTTCGGGTAGCCTTTCACAAGCTTCCCACAATAAATTGGGTGAATTTTGGCCCATTCCTCCTGACAGAGCTGGTGTAACTGAGTCAGCTTTGTAGGCCTCCTTGCTCGCA